TGGCATGAAGACTTTGGAGTCTACAGGTTTTCAGATTAAAAAAAAGAAGAAGATATCTTCATAAAATAAAAAAAGCTTTACCAGCCAAAGCTACAAAAGCATCACATGATGAAAGTGGTACATGAACTACAGAACAATAGTTGGAGTAAACCTTAGTAGAAATAATTTTGTAGTCCCTCACCTAAGAAAAAATAAAAGGTTTTCTTTAAGAAAGACCAAAACTACTTTTAATTAATAAACGATTTTCACTTCCAAAATTTTTTAATTAAGTAAAAAGGAAAAAAGAATGCACTATAAGAATATGAAAGGACACTAATTGATACATTGTTCATTTCAATACATTATATAACATATTTATTAAAAAATTATTATTATTTTATATAAAATTAAAGATAAACAAATTTAAAGATAAAATCATACATACAAGATGTAAAAACCAACTAAATCAATTATAATTATATGTTATTTTAGGTTAAATGCTAATTTGGATTCCTCAACTTAAAAAAAAAAATGTACATTTTTAGTTCTTCTATCAATTAATCCATTTAGTCTATTTGTGTGTATTTAATTAAGTTCAACTACTAAAAATATGCATATAACATAAAATTAGGATCTAAAAATGTGCATATTTGAATAGATTTAATAGACTATATAGAAAAAAAAAACACATTTTTTAGAGTTAAGGGATTAAAAAAATGCTTAAAATAGAATAGGGATAATAATAATTATGTCAAACTCTAGATTTGAGGAACTGAAATTGGTATTTAACCTATATTCTAATAGTTGGACTAGATAAAAGAATCATTTGTTTGATCCATTGAAAATAGCTATTAACTATTGGTTTTAATCCAATAGATTAGATATTTTATAAATATCATTAATTATCACTTATCAGATATCAACTATTAACTATCCTTTATGTTTTTCAAATATTTTTTCCTTCTTTATTCTGATCATTATATCTTGATTTTAATTATTTAACCTATCATTTTTAAGGGTAAAATAAGTAAAAGTAAAAATTATCTACGAATTCTTATTCTAAAGATAAAATTAAAAAATGTTTCCTATTTTAGAATGGAAGAAGTAATAAATTTCTTCTTGCATTTCTTTAAAGAAAATGTCAGAAAGATAAGGAATTTAACCCATTTTCATTTAAAATTTTTTTAATTAAGTAAAAAATCAATGTA